TTTACTATTTTATATAAAGTTTATGATACAAAGATGTTTTATTGTTAAAGTGTCATTGAGGTTTGAAAAGTATAAAGCTGTTTAATATTTGAGTGTTAATGACATGTGAAGTAGAAAGAAATTGCCCATGTTATGCAAAAGCGAGTTTCATCTTCAGTGTGCTGTAAATGATGTGTTTATTTTTGCTCAATTTCAGTATTCAGAACCGGTACAGTTGTCCACTTTAATTTAAACCAGATAAGAGTGTGGTTTGCTTTAAATACAGTTGTATATTGCTGTAAATTCACTGCAGATTACAGTGGCTTTCAGTTGCTTAAGCAAGAGCATGTGTGTACTTTTGTTTTGCTTTCACTGAGCGATCACATGAAGCACATGTAAAATAGTGGAAAGTGTAGAGTGTGAATCCCTTTATTTTTCTACTTGTGACTTTGGAAAATGGACAGATATGGACACTGGGACTGAAAAAGTCATGCACACATGTATATTGTTAATGTTGTTCATGTTTATTGAAACTTGAATAAGAGATGCAATCTGAGAGGCAAACCGAGTGCACTGTCTTCATTGCTCCTGAAATTTACCTGTATTTGCAGGGATTTCTTCTTTGTTATTGTGGCACCATTCCTGGGGCCCGTAACACATGCAAGTTCAAGACAACACAAAGCTGTGTACACACACACACACACAACATTTATCAATCACTTTTGATTACTGGGGCTCCATAATGATCTGAAACAGCAGTCAGAGGATACGCCCGAGGAGCAGTGGGCCCGTTTCTGGTTTTGAAACTCAAGAATCCCAAACTGCCACAGCGAATGGCAGCGCTCCAGAAAATCAGACCGTCACCCAACTGGACACAACAAGTGACCGCAGCTCGGCATACAGTCGTGACTCTGCAGGATGAGTTTGATGGCGAGCTTTGATTTTTTTTAATCTGCTTTCTATTTATTGTGATTTCCCATGTAAAAATCTACCAAGTCAAAGAAATTTAAATATAAACATGACAGGGGTTATTTTGTATCATGCTTTATTATTTCAATGGTCAGTTTTTTACTTTATCGACTTAAAAGTCAATTCACGCACTCTAATCAATGTTTCCTCTAAGCTCAAATTTTGGCAGACCAGACCTCTGCAAAGCGGGATTTTAGCTTTAGTGTTTTAGCTAATGTGACGACAGCGCTTCAGAATAACATCACTACAGTTAAACAAAAACGCTTCCTGCTGAGTCATGAATCCTCTTAGGAAATAATGTCATCACTCAGAAAATCCACTGAGCTCAGAGCAAAGTCAAACGGGCTCTAGATGTTGGAGATCTGAACCCTTTGATTTTTGTTAAGGAGCATCAATAAGATAAGGAACATTTATTTATTGCAACAGGCTACTCTGATCCTAAAACAAGACTGCAGAAGCACCTTTTTCTTATCCTGCTCCCTATCCCAATTGTTTGATTTAGTGAAGCCAAAACAACGCAACTATTCTAAGGTGTAACTAAAAGAATTAAATCTTAAAAATTACTTGACATTACAGACTGACTGAAATCATTTCAGGAGTGTTTTTATGGCTCCGAAACACAAAACAAATAGTATTAATTAAATGGAGTGGTGTTTCTTCTTTGTTTGTTTGATCCAAACCTTATCAGTCTTGCCCCAAGCACATAAACAAAACGTGACATGGGAAACGTGCAGAGCCAGGAGGAAGAGTATTTATGGACTTGTTGAGTTTAAAATACACACAAACAGCTGAGGGAAGCTGGGAGGGTGGGAACAGCTCTCGAGTGGAAAGAACTCGGGAGAAACGTCAGCCTGCGTGAAAACGTAACTGTCGTCACTGCACACACTTAGCGTTCTCTTACGCTGGCGTGTGGGGCTATTCTGCACATTAACAGGTCTGTGGAAGCTCGAATCATGTAATTGCATGTAATAAAACTATTACAGAGGGGGCATTAGATTTGAAGTCTGTGGGAACTGAAATGAAAGCGAACGGCTTTTGTGTTTGCAACCTGGTGGGTTTCAGTTCTCAGCTCAGTTAGCCGCTGGGGGTTCTGGAGAGCCTGCCCAGCCCTCTGTCTCCGCTGGAGGGCCCGAGGAGCTCGTCCAGCCCCCTGCCTCGTCAGCTGGAGGGCCCGAGGAGCTGGTCCAGCCTCAAGCCTCGTCAGCTGGGGGTCTTGGAGGACCCAGCCAGCACATCCTCATGTCTGCTGATGGTTCCGGGGAGACCGTTCAGCCACCACCTGCTCCGCCGCCTGCAGCAGCAGCGTCATCCACGCCGCCTGCAGCAGTGGCTGGCCTCCGGACCTGCTCTGTCGCCGCCGCTGCCGCCTTCCGCGTGGTCAGCCTCCTGATTTGGCTCACCTGTGTCACCACCGCCGTTGCTGTTCGCACCGTCGGCCGCCTGAACTGTGTCCGCGCCGCTGCTGCCTTCTGGCAGCCAGCCCAGAACTGGGTCTTTGGATTTTTGAGTGGTCAGCTCCCTGAACTTTTTGATATATGGGCTCATGGTTTGACCCTGTGTAATTTGTTTTGAATTATGCATGTATCTTTGGACTTGTGCTCCTTGTGTTTTGTTTTGTTTCAGTTCACACTTTCTCAAAGGCTGAGCCGCTGCTGTACGAGGCTGAGAATAGCACGCTGTTTGTAACAGCGTGCTATTCTGATATAACAGTCTGATATAGGGAAGTGAGACGTGTGAACGGCAGTACTTATATTTGTCCAAGGAATTCTTTTTTTTTTACTACTTTTTCCAATCTATGAAGTATCTGAAATTGCACAGGGGATACTGGATAGCACCTTCACGTACCGCAGAAAGGCCAAGTTATAACCAGTGTTACCGAGTCCCATCAATGATCGGTAACACATTTTATTATATTTTTCTGGGCGCTTGACTATTTTAATAAAGCAGTGCAACACATCACTTGACCATTTTAATACAGAACATGCAGAAAAAGGACAGACAAGCACAACAAAGGTATGCACATGTGCAGTTTCTGGGCTATATTTCTAAAACACCCCATAAAATATCAAAAATTATTTGCATGAAATAAGCAGCCGTCGCTTATTTGTATGTGCTGCTGCTAAGATGCTGCGTTTAAACAGAACCAAAAAAATGGGAATTTTGTATGAATTTTAACCAATAATCATTCTAAAAAAGAGAATTTGATAATTTTTTTCTTACTTGGGGAAGATTGCCAGCAGGCCTCAGCGTCTATACTAAAATATAGAGACTTTATTAAACACACTCAGCACAATGCTGTCCTCACTCCTGTTGACATGTTCAAGATTTAAAATAGTGACACATCTGTTCATGAAGTCTATTACACACAAAGAGGAGACGGACTAAAAACACCAAACAGTGCAGAAAACTAATAACTTGAATGCAAAGCACCTCCCATATGGAAAATATATATATAAATCTTATAAAGTTTGTATCTGTCTT